ATTATAAGCCTGAGGTTGGTGTGGTGGTTCACACCTGTAATCCCAGTACTTTGGAAGACCAAGGTGGGAGGATTGCTTGAGACCAGGAGTTCTAGACCAGCCTGGGCAACATGGTGAGACCCATTTCTACAAAAAGTAAAATAAAATAAAAAAGTATCTGGACATGGTCATGCACGCCTATAATCCTTAGCTACTCGGGAGGCAGAGACGGGAGGACTGCTTGAGCCCAGGCGTTCAAGGTTATAGCAAGACTCTGGCTCAAAAAGAGAGACAGAGAGAGAGAGAGAGAGAGAGACAGAGAGATAGAGATGGGGGAGAGAGAGAGAGAGAGGGAGAGAGAGAGATGCATGCATGCTTATTATAAGATATTCAGAAAATATAGTTCAATATAAAAAGAATACAAATATCACCCATAATCCTTACAGCCAGAGTTAAAAATTGTTAACCTTCTGGTGTGATACTACCCAAACGTTTGAAAATACATATACAAATGCATATGTATGCATTCAAAACCAAAATTACATAGAATTGTGTGTGTTGCTTTTGAAAATTATTTAATTATATAAGTGATGAATACAGTCCCACTATAAACTGCTTCCTAGCCGGTCCTTCCCGCCCTGTGCCCTCCTCCTGAGTGCCCGTTTCCAGATTGCCAAATGCTGTCCGACTTTTCTGTGCATTCACAGTGTGAAAGAAGATGGTATGTCCGGCTTCCTATTAAACCTTCCAGTAGAAGGAACTGTTTGACTGTTTTCTCTTGTGATGTGTAAGTTCTATTTCTTTTTTCTTTATGAAAGTCTAAGCATCTTGTATGTCATTTCCACAATGCAGAATGGTGTATCAGATTATAAAGTTAGCTCTGCTGAGCAGTTTCTAACCTAAGTAACATTTTTACATCTTACATTCCCTCTTCCACTTTTTAACTGGTTTGTTTTTGTTTTCTTTGACCTTGAGATGACATGGTTTTTAAAGGATATTATATAGTCACAGGGAAAAATCATGACTGATGGCAGAAATATAATTTTCTTTTTCCTTTGAGAAAAGGTAAATCAGATAAAAGGAAATAAGAGGTAAAGACGAAGCTTAATTTATCTGGCAGTAATTCAATTTAAAATTCTAAACAGATTAAAACCATACTGAAACAAACAAAACGAGCATTTTTTTCTGAGATGGAGTTTTGCTTTTGTTGCCCAGGCTGGAGTGCAGTGGCACCATCTCAGCTCACCGCAACCTCCACTTCCCAGGTTCGAATGATTCTCCTGCCTCCGCCTCCCAAGTAGCTGGGATTACAGGCGCCCACCACCACATCTGGCTAATTTTTGTATTTTTAGTAGAGACGGGGTTTCACCATGTTGGCCAGGCTGGTCTCGAACTCCTGACCTCAGGTGATCCACCCACCTTGATCCCCGCTGAAGTGCTATGATTACAGGCGTGAACCACCGTGCCCAGCCGACAATTTTTTTTAAAGTTTCTTTGAATGGAGATGCTCTGTATTTAGATGCTCTGAAAATATTTGTTTTTCCAACATAATAAATTATGTGAATATAAGTATTTTCAACAATATTTTATGTAAATTTTATATATGTATATATAATCTTTTTTTTTTTTAATTCCACAGCAGTTCTTAATTAGAGAGCTCAGCAAAACCGGGTCTATTGTGATAATGCAGTGGTGGGTTTGTTCTCACAGCTGTTAGCAATTTGCATATTAACTAAAATACCCTGAAATGGTGTAGTTAGGCAATGAAACATCCTAGTTAGGAGAACTTTCCAAATAACTGACACTTATTTAAATGCCAACACTTTTAATTTTTAACCACTGGAAGGAAATCTCTCTCCTGAGATTCAGCTTCTAAAGTAGGGGATATTGAAACCTATGTTTTGGCATTGTTGACTGTGTTGTATTTTAATCCCTATGGGGATCGTGTGTGTGCTCTTCGATCAGTTTTTCTCTCCCTAGCTGGCCAGCTGTGTTTGCACAGTGCCTGTATGTATCACTTACTTAATGAATATTTGATGAATACATGAATGACGATGACCAGACTGCTGCTCTCCAACTGTCGTTTTGCATGTAGCACCAGGCCCTGCCCACTTGGCCATTCATGCCCCATATTCTCCCAGCTCCCCTCCCCTCCTGAGTCCCCCACCTCTTAGTTTGTCACATATAATCTGCTATGTAGAAAACCAAAATAGCCAAGTGTATTTATTAAAATTGTATTAAGAGTTAATGAAGAGTGGAGCTCAAAATGGGTGCCTAAGAAACCTGGCCTTAGGAGCCCCTGTCAGCCATGGCTGTTTCTAAAATAGATTCATCCTTCTGAAGCAGACAGCCTGAGACCGGTCATTGCTTTTTGAAATGTGTGTGTAACTTACAATATCCTTACAATATCCTTACAAGGATATTGTAAGCAAGGCATTAGGCTGGGTGTGATGGCTCACATCTGTAATCCCAGCACTTTGAGAGCCCAAGGTAGGAGGGTCATTTGAGCCCAGGAGTTCAAGGCCACCCTGGGCAACATGATGAGATCCTGTCTCTACAAAAAATACAAAATATTCACAAAGTGTGGTGGTGGACAACTGTAGTCCCAGCTACCTGGGAGGCTGAGGTGGGAGAATCACCTGAGCCTGATGCCACTTCCAAGCATCTCCTGAATATGACCCTGTCTCATCATTATCATTGTCGCCTGGTCCAAGCCACCATCATCTCTTATCGGAATTGTCTCCTGGCCCTGGCTCCCCTCTGGTCTCCCGTGGGGGACCTCGAAGGCTAGAGCTGCCTGGAAATGAGAGGGCGACGGAGCCTGCAAACCTGGTCCCTGCAGGGCAGTCACTGGGCAGACACAGGGTGAGGGCAGGTGGAGAGAGACCCAGGGCCGCCAGCAGACACTAGGGGCTGGGCCCTGCATTGCACGCCTGAATGTGGTCACTTGCTTCATAATGTGGGATTTTTCAATGTATAAAGTGTCATCCTCAGTCAGACTGTCATTGCTTTAATTTCTTATAAAACTTGTGCTATGCATTTGAAGTGCACAAGACCATTTCCCACTTAATACTGGGAAGACTGGGCTGGGTGGGGTGGCTCACGCCTGTAATCCCAGCACTTTGGGAGGCCGAGGTGGGCAGACTGCTTGAGGCCAGGAGTTTGAAACCATCCTTGCTAACACGGTGAAACCACATCTCTACTAAAAATACGAAAAATTAGCCGGGCGAGGTGGCTCAAGCCTGTAGTCCCAGCTACTCGGGAGGCTGAGGCAGGAGAATGGCAGGAACCCAGGGGGTGGGGAGTGCAGTGAGCCAAGATCGCGCCACTGCACTCCAGCCTGGGCGACACAGTGGGACTCCGTCTCAAAAAAAAACAAAAAAAAAACCACTGGGAAGATTGTTACTTTACAGGACACACCCGGCATTCCTATGTGTGGTGGGAAGGGAGAAGCTGTGAATCAACTGAGGTCAGGGGTTTGAGACCAGCCTGGCCAACATGGTGAAACCCAGTCTCTACTAAAGATACTAAAATTAGCCTGGTATGGTGGTAGGCACCTGTAATCCCAGCTACTTGGGAGGCTGAGGCAGGAGAATTGTTTGAACCTGGGAGGTGGACGTTACAGTGAGCCAAGACAGTGCCACTGCACTCCAGCCTGGGCAACGGAGCGAAACTCTGTCTCAAAAACAAATAAAGTCAGTGACAGTGGCACATGTCACACAATATAAATGTGCACACACACACTGCCTCAGAGTTTAAATGTAAGAGGAGGTCAAGTGCGGTAGAGCACACCTGTAATCCCGGGACCGCGGGAGGCCGAGGTGGGCAGATCGCTTGAGCCCAGGAGTTTGAGACCAGCCTGGGCAACATAGCAAGACCCCATCTCTACAAAAAATACAAAAATCAGTCAGGGGTGGTGGTGCACTGGTAGTCCCAGATACTCAGGAGGCTGAGGTGGGAGGATCGCTTGAGCCCAGGAGGTCCTAGCTGCAGTGAGCTGAGATTGCGCCACTGCACTCCAGACTGGGCAAAACAGTGAGACCCTCTCAAAAAAACAAAAAAAAATAAAAAATCAGTAAATAAATTTAAGATGATACACTGAGTTTCCAGTAGGTAGGCATCTTTGAAGGCTGTTTTGTTCTGTGCTGAATGACCAGCGTTTGAAACTAAATTCAACATGCTGAGTGGCCATTCTTCACGGAGCTTTTATTTGGGGAAAAAATAATTAGTGGTTCCTGAATAGAGGCCAGCACCGCGGTTTCTTCCAGCACCCCAGGGAACTTTCACTCCCACCCCAGGATGGTTTCCCACTTCCCTTCAACTGCAAAGTGACTCCTCCTGGTGCAGCTGTGGCCAGGATCTCCCCAGCCAGACCACCCTTCCCACTGTCAGGACTTTTTTAAAAATAGATAAATTCAGGCAGATGAGTTTCAATAGAGAGAAACTCACTCTTACTTTTCAGTATCTCCCTTTTCAGTATTTGGCATTTTTAACATTTTTTGGTCTTGAGAGAAGTGTGAAGAGAGCCATTATTCAGCACATGTTGACTCAGCACCTACGACATGACAGACATGGTTCTAGGCACGTCAGGCCCCTGCCCTCCCGGGAGCTTACATTTTAGACAGGTGATAAACAAGGATGGGGAAAGTGTGCTCTGGTGGCCGTAGCTAATAACAGTGGATAGTATAATTGAAAATTGCTAAGAGTAGGTTGGGCGCGGTGGCTCACGCCTGTAATCCCAGCACTTTGGGAGGCTGAGGCAGGTGGATCACCTGAGGTGAGGAGTTTGAGACTAGCCTGGCCAACATGGTAAAACCCCATCTCTACTAAAAATAGAGAAAAATTAGCCAGGCATGGTGAGGGGCGCCTGTAATCCCAACTACTCGGGAGGCTGAGGCAGGAGAATCGCTTGATCCCAAGAGGCGGAGATTGCAGTGAGCCAAGAATGCACCACTGCACTCCAACCTGGGTGACAAGAGTGAGACTCTGTCTCAAAAAACAAAACCAAAAAAAGCCAAAAAGAAAGAAAATTGCTAAGAGTAGTGTTGAAGTGTTCTCACCACACAAAAATGGTAAGTATGTGAGGCTGTGCATATGTTATTAGCTTGATTTCATAATTCAACAATGAATACATATTTTAAAACATGTTATGTACCATAAATATATATAATATTTATGTATCAAAAAAAAGGACTCTGCCTACCGTGTTGAAAAGTAACCTGGAAAAAGCAGATTCGTCTGGGATCGTCACCATCGCCAGATTGTTTTTCTTTTTTTGGTCACTTTCTTGCTCAACAATCTCTGATGCTTCCTTTAGTTTGTCCATCAGCCTTTGTGTCTGCACCCAGCCTCCCCTCCAAGCTCCACTGGGATCAGCTGTTTGCCTAAGCTCCCCCGGCAGGCCTGGCTCTCCTGGCTTCCACCCTCCCTTCCAGCCCCAGCCCTTGCTCCTGTTTCTGCACCCTTGGAATCACTCTCACCTCTCGGGCATGGTGTCTGTTTCCTGAAGTTTCTGGAGACATGCAGCGGCGCACACGCTGGCCTTCTGGACTCACTGGTGTCGGTCGCCTGCCCCGTGACCACGCCTCCTCGGATGCCGCTTCAAGGGTCTCTGAGCTGCATATGGACTATTTCCCCATCCACGTCATCTCCTAGGGGGACAGTCACCTCCAGGATTTAATTCAGCTGCTTTCCATGGACATGACAGGCTCTCAGAAAAAGTTCTTCTGTTGACGAAATGGAAGAGAAACCATTAAGGAGACGCATTCATACACAGCTTCTAAATAGATCTACCAGACCTCGTCCCCTACTCTTCGAAAAGATAAATAAACATGAACGCTTGTCATTCTATCTACCAGACATCAGTTTTTTGTTTTTTGGGGTTTTTGTTTTTTTGTTTTTTGACACAGAGTTGCGCTCGGTCACCTAGACTGGAATGCATTGGTGTTATCTCGGCTCACTGCAGCCTCCACCTCCCGGGTTCAGGTGATTGTCCTGCCTCGGCCTCCCAAGTAGCTGGGATTATAGGCACCCACTACCACACCTGGCTAATTTTTTGTATTTTTAGTAGAGATAGGGTTTCGCCATGTTGGCCAGGCTGGTCTCGAACTCCTGGCCTCAAGTGATCCGCCCGTCTCGGCCTCCCAAAGTGCTGGGATTACAGGCGTGAGCCACCGTGCCCAGACTCACTCAAATCTCTATCATGATAAACAACATCGCTGGCTGTCAGACAAGCTCGTGACTTTGCACAGCCATCCCAAGGCCGTGGCAAGGACTCGGATGTGGTCAAGACAGTGGAGATCCAGAGAAGCTCTTCTTTTCCAAGAGGCAGTGAATGTGAACAGACATGTTTAAGAACCGTTCCCCCAGGGGTTGCTTTTTCAGTGACTGCGCCCTCAAATGCCACAGAGGAGAAACCGCAAAAGGCACAGGTGTCTTGGCAGAGTCAACAGCCTGCTCTGGGAACCCGGGGCTTTGCTTGAGGGAGGGCAGCCACGGGGGCCATCTGTTGTGAACGCCACTCACTAGACACTGCTCTGAACTTGAACACACAAGCTGAACACAACCAAAGCACCAACCAACAAGGTTGGGTATTTTTTTGTTTAATTTTTTTTTATTATTTGTATTTATTTTTTTAAAGAAGTTAAAAATGATCATTTGGAAGCCTGCTGGAGCCAAGAGGACAAAGAATGATGTCAGATGCCAAGGTCAACAGAGCAGTGCCGTGATCAGTCCGACACCCTGAGTCAGGCACAGCTGAAGCTTCTGCAGACGACACATGAAATCCCTGAGACTGTGTCAGTTTAACCCACATTCAAGGCCATGCCCGTGCGAAATCGTGAAGAGACAAAGCGGCCCCGGCGGCTGCAGTGTCCACATCTGCCTGTCATCCTCCTGGTTCCCGGAACCGTCCGTCTTCTTTACCTTCTGAGTCTCAGGAAAACACGTGATACCAACAGTGGATGTAAGTCGAGTTATGGCTTAGTTCAGGCGGATCTGGAGCTGGGAATTGGGAGTAAAACACTAAGCCTTGGGCTTGGGAGTTCAGGGAAAGGTCTCACGACAAAGGACTTAGACTTGGCACCAGGTGGAGGAGGTGTCACGTTGGGCACGGGACAGAGACCTGTGCACCTCAGCTGCTCCCGGGGATTCTCCCTCTGTCTCTACTTGGGTCCTTCGTCCTCTTTCCGAGTCAGTGCTGGCCTTGGGCCTCCCACCTCGGCGGTGCTTCCTGCTGCCTGCATGGTGGGTGGCTGGAGAAGAGAATGAGAGCCCACACTCACCCAGATGTGCCCGGGGGACAGGGGGGTGCCAGTGCCATGGGCGCCCAGTTAGGATAAATAACTGAAAATGGTTCGCCCACCTTGCAGCAGCTTGCGCTGGAAGAAGCAAAGCCCGGGATGGCGCCTTTGCTCTGCCCTGAGAGAATGTGCTTGGCCCACCCTCGGGAGCGTGTGGACAAGGCTGTGCTCCCGGAGCGCAGACCGGGATCCACCCACACTGCTCCAGCGCCAGCGGCCAGAGACCACCAGCAAGTGCACACAGAGGGGTCTTCAGACTGGGGGCGAATACATGCAACACGCATGGGTGAAGCACGGCTGACTCCAAACTCCAGAAGCTACCGTCACACTCCTCCATTGTGCTGCGCTGTAACTGTGTGTGTGCGTGTGCGTGCACACATGTATGTATGGTACAGCATGGTATAGCCTTGTATACAGTCAGCTGACTCCTTGGTTGCAAATGACAGTTGATCTCCAAATGACTTAAGATAACACAAGAAAAACTGACCAATAACACTACAGGGATGCAATTTAGCTTCAGACACAACTGGATCTGCGGTTCTAATGATGCCCTCAGGGCCTGGACCCTCTCCAGTGGTTAGTGCTCCTGCCCTTTCCATGATGAAGAGACCCAATATAATCAACCTGCCACCAGGTAGCTGGCTGGTCACCCCCGAGGATGGTGCCATATCGAAGGCTCAGTATTGGTCTCTGCTGCTGGCAAGTGGGGCACTCAGCAGCGGCCATAGCCAGGTCAGTCTTGGTGTGTGGAAGTCCACGTTGCTAGCCCATGTTTAACCTCCATCCCTGCCACCATGGCCCCTTTGTTCATGGGCCCATTGGGCGATGACAGGTGTGGTTGGGGAAAGAGGCTGAGTGGTGTCCACAGAACGGGTCATCCTATCCACTTGATTATTATTGAGATGAAGTATTGCTCTTACCACCCAGGCTGGAGTGCAATGGCAACCTTGGCTCACTGCCAAGTTTGCTAAGGGATCACCACCTCCCAGGTTCAAACAATTCTCCTGCCTCAGCCTCGAAAGTAGCTGGGATTACAGGCATGCACCACCACACCTGGCTAATTTTTGTATTTTTACTAGAGTCAGGTTTTCACCATGTTGGTCAGGCTGGTCTCGAACTCCTGATCTCAGGTGACCCACCTGCCTCGGCCTCCCAAAGTGCTGGGATGCCAGGCGTAAGCCACCACGCCTGGCCCACTTGATTATTAAAATCCTCCTCTGCTGGCTGGGTGCGGTGGCTCACGCCTGTAATCCCAGCACTTTGGGAGGCCAAGGTGGGTGGATCACAAGGTCAAGAGATTGAGACCATCCTGGCTAATGTGGTGAAACCCTGTCTCTACTAAAAAATGAAAAAAGTTAGCCGGGCATGGTGGTGGGTGTCTGCAGTCCCTGCTACTCAGGAGGCTGAGGTAGGAGAATGGTGTGAACCCAGGAGGTGGAGCTTGCAGGGAACGGACATCGTGCCGCTGTGCTCCAGCCTGGGTGACAGAGCGAGACTCCGTCTCAAAAAAAAAAAAAAAATTCCTCCTCCGCTGAGGTCACCCAGTGGTGAGCACTCACATGGGATATAAATATCTTCACAGTTTTTGACCACTCAGAGAGGTCTATCCGCATAGCTCTTCCCCAGATTTCTTTGTCACCAATTTTCCAATCACGCTTCTTCCAAGTCCCTGACCATCCAGCCAAACCATTGGCTACAGCCCGTGAATCAGTACATACTCACACATCTGGCCATTTCCCCTTCCATGCAACATGCACAGCCAGGGGCACGGCTCGGAGTTCTGCCCACTGGGAAGATTTCCCTTCACCGCTGTCCTTCAGGGATGTCCTAGAAAGGGGCTGGAGGGCTGCAGCTGTCCATTTTCACATGGTGCCTGCATATCGTGCAGAACCGTCTGTGAACCAGGCCTTGTCTTCTCTTCCTCTGTCAACTGATCACAGGGAACTCCCCATGAGGCCTCGGTGCAGGCTGGGGAGAGGAGAGAAGGCAGGTGGCAGGAGTGCAGACCATCGGCATTTGAGCCACTTCCTCATGTAACTTACTTGTGCCTTCAGGACCTGCTCGAGCCCAGTCATGTACATACCACTTCCATTTGATGATGGATGCTGCTCTGCATGACCCACTTTATGGCTAGATGGGTCAGAAAGCACCCAGTTCATGACAGGCAGTTCAGGTCCCATGGTGACTTGATGACCGATAATCAAATGTTCAGTTTCCACCAAACTCCAGTAACAGGTCAAGAGCTGTCTCTCCAAAGGGGAGTAGTTATCTGCATAAGATGTCAGAGCCTTGCTCCAAAATCCTAGAGGCCTTTGCTGTGATTCACCTATGGGGGCCTGCCAAAGGCTCCAAACAGCACCCCTATCTGCCACAGACGCCTCAAGCACCATTGGACCTGCTGGGTCATGTGGCTCAAGTGTCAGAGCAGCTTGCACAGCAGCCTGGACCTGTTGCAGAGCCTTCTCCTGTTCTGGACCCAACTCAAAATGGCAGCCTTTCGGGTCACTCGATAAATGGACTGGAGTAACACACCCAAATGAGGAATGCATTGCCTCCAAAATCTAAATAGGCCCACTAGGCGTTGTGCCTCTTTCTTGGTTGTAGGAGGGGCCAAATGCAGCAACTTATCCTTCAACTTTGAAGGAATAACTTGACAAGTCCCACACTACTAGACCCCTAGAAATCTGACTGAGGCAGAAGGTCTCTGAATTTTAGTTGGATTTATTTCCCGTCCCCTGGCATGCAAATGCCTCACCAATAAGTCCAGTGTGTTTGCTACTCCTTGCTCACTGGATCCAATCAGCATAATGTCATCAGAGTAACGGACCAGTGTGATATCTTGCAGAAGCGAAAAGCGATCAAGTTCTCTCCAAATAAGATTATGACACAAAGCCAGAGAGTTGATACATCCCTGAGGTAGGACAGGAAAGGTATATTGCTGGCCTTGCCAGCTGAAAGCAAATTGCTTCTGGTGGGCTAATGGACAGGAATGGAGACAAAGGCATTTTGCCAAGTCAAGGGCTGCATACCAGACACCAGGAGATGGGTTAATTTGTTCAATCAATTAAACCATATCTGGTATGGCAGCTGCAATTGGAGTCACCACTTGGTTAGGCTTAAGATAATCCACTGTCATTCTCCATGATCCACCTGTCTTTCTGCCCATGGCCACATGGGAGAGTTGAACCGGAATGTGGTGGGAATCACCACCTCTGGGCATCGTTTGCAGGGTCCCTTGCATTGGCTGGGGCACTAATCTCCGCAGTAAACTCCATTAATTACCTGACCTCCATAAGCCCCTACTTAACTGGAGGACCACGATGACATTTTAGGTTCCCTGGATCCACCGTCGGCTCGGAGCCATGCCAGTAGTCCCTGAAATGTCTGATCATTTCCCTTTCCCCAATGCACAGTTACCCTGATGA